TCATTCCTATTCCTATTAATGTAAAAGGGTTCCTAACCATCTTTATAGGACTTCTTTTCATTTTACTTATATTCTTATGAACTTTCAGAGGGTTCTTATTCAACATCAGAGCATTCCTAATACTTTTCAATAGGGTTCTTATGCATTTCAACAAGGTTCTTAATCATTTTCAAGTGGCTCTTTTAATTCCAACAGGGTTCCTCTGAAATTAAAAATCTTTTTAAGATTCATACTGGTGCCTATTCATTTTAGTGAGTCTCCAAGTGATTTTAATGGTATTCTTAGAAAATTGAATAGCATTCCTCGCCCTATTAATTCTAATAGGAATCACATTAAGTCTAACAGGAAGCCAAGAAATTTTGAAAAGGAACCACATTGAATTTTGTAGGATTCCTATTGGTTCCTATTATTTTTAGTAGGATTCCTCTTCATTTTAAAAGGATTCCCATCAATTGGTAATAGGGTTCTTAAAAATTTTACTGGGGTTCCTAATAAACTCCGATTAACGTCAAAGGGTTCCTGACCATCTTAATGGGACTCCTCTACCATTTCAGAATATTCTTATGAATTTTCATAGGCCTTCTTATTCAATGCAGAAGGATTCCTGATACGTTTTTTGTAAACAGGGTTCTTATGAATTTCAACAAGGTTCTCAATCATTTTAAAGTGGCTTCTTTTAGTTTCAATAGGGGTCCATCTGAAAATGAAAAGGGCTCATACTTCTTTTTAGGATTCCTATTGGTTCCTATTCATGTTTGTGATTGCAAAGTGATTGGAATGGTTTTTTCTGGAGATTTGAATAGCATTCCTGTCTCATTAATTCTAATAGGAATCACATGAATTCTAACAGGAAGCCTAGAAATCCGAACCACATTTATTTTTATAGGATTCCTATTGGTTCCTATTAAATTAGTAGGATTTCTCTTCATTTTCAAAGGATTCCAATAGGGTTCTTATGATTTTTAGTGGTGTTGCTTGTAAATTCTAATTGATGGTAGGACCCTCTTCATTGAAAAGATTCCTCTTAATTTGTAAAAGGGTTCTTATGAATTTTAGTGGGGTTCCTCATAAATTGAATAGGATTCTAATTCATCATAACAATATTAAGAGAAATATTAATAGGATTCCTATTTAGATTTAATGGACTTCCCACATTCCCGTGAATTCAAAAAGGGTCCCTTTTCATTTTCACAGGCTCCCTACTATTCTTCATGGGGGGGCCCTATCATTTTTCTACATTTTAATAGCATTCCCATGACGTTTGATAGGGAGTTCCTCTGACTCAAATATGATTCCAAGTCATTATTCCTATTGATTCAATAAAGAGTCTTATTAATCTTAATAGGGTTCGTATGAATTTCATAAGGTTTTCGTTCAATTAAGAGGGTTCTTATTAAATTCATAGCTATGACTAAGTATGGATTTCTTACTCCGACACGGCCTCACGGTGGGTCATGGGGGGGGGTGTGAGCATATATATATATATATATGTATACACGCATGTTTTTAGATTTATATGTGTGTTTCTTTATACATTTTCAAGCAAATTCTACCCCTTTCACTTCGAGTGGTCCCGCCGAGTTCTGCCTGTGTGGCTTCAGCGCGCTCGCGGCTCTCGGACTCTATGTTTGAAGGCTCCGGCATCTGTTTGTAGGGTTGGTAGGGCTGTTTTGGGAGTTCAAATAAGGTTTAGAATCAAGAATGCTTCAGGATTTCGAGTTTCATCGTCGTGTAGTATAGGGCAGAGGGCCGTTATACCAGGCCCCCCCCCCAAAAAAAATAAAATTAAAATAATCATAAATAAATAAATATAAATAAATAAACCAATAAATAAATAAATATATATATATATATATATTAAAACAGAGATATGGATACATAAATGTTTCATAAATCCCAAACCCCCAAAACTCTAAACCCCAAACCCTAAACCCTAAAAGCAAATCTAAATTTTGGGTTCTCGGTCAGGGTTCGCAAGTTTCCGGGAGACCAGATAGTCTAGGAACATTTTGGGGAGTGCAGGTCTTTTGATGAACTGTGGGTTTATGTTTGAACTAGGGCAGGGTTTACATAAGGGGCCTCCTCCTGTGGGTGAGTTGGTCAAACAGGTGGCCACAAAACCGAGGAAAACTCCAAATCCCGGTAGTAAAAAGTGGGGCTCTAAGTAGGGTAACTAGAAGTAGAACTGGTTAGAGCCTTCTTGAGGGTACTTATAACCCTAAACCCTAAACCCTAACCCCCCCCCCTTGTTTATTATTAACTACTAACCATGAACCTATATGAACCTCCAAGTAGTCTCCTGGACCCCCGCTGTGGAGGTTCCAGCCAGCTCCGGTGAGTCGCATCAGCAAGTTGACCGACCCGTTTTTAGCCCCTGAGGGACGTAAAGTAAGGCCTGAGGACCGGTCGGTAGACATTTTCTTACCGACAATTGTGGCCTAGGTCTTAGGGTTGATGGTTTTCGGCTGTAGGGGTTTAGGGCTTAGGGTTTATGATGGGAGCCGGGGTTAAAGGCAGGACGTTTTGGGTTTTCGTCAAATGTTCAGCTGGCAACCTGGTGTCTTGGATACTTTGTTGGGATCTATATAAGGATTAAGGAACATTAGAAAAGAGGTTTTCTTGGGAACCAGGGTAAAAGGGCGTTTGGCATATCAGATTTTGGTGCTGAATTATCATGGGGGTGGGGATGAGGGTCAAGGGTTTGAGGTTTCCTCTTTGAGTTGCCTCCAGCCAACAAGGCTGTTTTGGGGTTTAATATGAAGCTTCGTACTCGAAATTTGACTTATCTGCGCTCTGAACTCAGAACTCAGGGTTAGGCAAGGGGGTAGGGTTGCGGCTGTGCGCTCCACCGTGCACACGAATGAAAAGTCGTGAGCTGATTTCTGCTTCTTTGAACTGCCATATTTGGGACGAGCTTCCTGCGTTCCAGCTTTGGGCACAAGTTCTCAGACCTCGTACGATAGCCGTGCTCCACCAGAACTCACTAAGACCAAGTGGTTTAGGGATTTAGGGATGACTTCACAGTCACTTTGCCTCTTGCGGCAAGGCTGGCCAAGCCGTCCCAGATTGAAGCCCACTGAACACGTCGGGGCTTCCGACTTCAGTTGCAGGTTGAGGCCTTGCTTCCAGCCATCAGATTTACTTGCGTACTTATCTCGGATCTGGGACTTCATTCGGTTTATTCCAGGGCTCAGGGGAGTTGGAGAGCCTTGAAAGAGAGTTGCAAGAGCCTGTCGGTGGTCGCAAGCTTGGGACTTGGGACGTGAGAGCTATGGCGGGAGCGATATTGCGGAATCAGCCGCGTCTTGCTTTCCACCGGCCAGACATGACGTATGCCCCATCCAACAACAGAGGATGCAGCAGACTCTTGTGAGCACATGGCCGTTTTTTTGGTTGAGAATTCGGGACCCTTTCTTGCGCGTGCTGTCTCAGGCATTGGTCACTGGCTGAATGCATTAGCACAGCATTCTTCGAAAGCGGTTCCCAGGAAGACAGCAGCGGGCAGCCAGTCGACCGTGCTTGCTATGGCGCTGCGGTAACTTTCAAGTCAATCTTGCAGCATTGAAGGTCAAACGTTGTCTTGACTTCCATGCTGCTGTGAGAGTTTGGTGCCTGCACCGTGCGAGCAGATGGGCTTGCACCTGTCTCCGTGCATGCACATGTCGGTTGGGCAGCTGGGTCAAGTCACAAAGCCCCTGGCCCATACACAGGCTGCTCCGAACCAGCATGTCCTTCGTCTACGCACCGCTAATAGCGAATGTCTGTGGATCTGCACAGAGAATCTGAAACAGCAGCGTCAACCGCTTCTGGTCCGACCGGATTGGCACAGGGCCAGAGAGAAAGCCGAAACTGAGCTGGTGGCGACCCAGTCATCTTCAAACATGCTTTGCCTAGATACTGCCAGAACTCTAGGTTTTATAGTCCCCCAATCCCTCCCTGCTTTACGGGTAAACAAGCTACATGCCTAGTTCTCTTTGAGCGGAGTTAACATCACGTGAGCTCGTGGCGGTTCTGGTGCTCGTACTCCTACTTCATCCGCAAAGCAAGGTGCGGAAGTCCAAACTGAGCCCCCAACTCCAAGCCTTCTCCAACCCCTAACCGCCCTAACCAGACTGCGCAACACATGCAGTGGAGAGACAGGCCCTGCACCTTCAACCCTAAACCCTAAACCCGCGCCCGAATCTCAACCCTGACCCTGGCCTTGCCTCAAAGGCTTAAGACTCGTATCCCTAAGGTTGTACCCCTAAAGGTTCCCCTGAATATACTCCTAACTATATGGCCGCTATACTACCTCAAGGATATTTCGAAAGGTTCCCCAAAATCCAGTCCAAGGTACAAACCCTAGATTGCACACTACGTGACTTCAGACTTCGCTCCAAGTCTGCATGTCACAGTAGTGAGACTTTCCGTAGCCTGCATTCCCTTAAGAAAGGCTAACATGGGGGTGTCCAAAAATTGGGGTACCCTTTCTGGAGGATCCCGTTAAGGAGATGCGATTCTACTTGGGGCACAAAAAGGGGTACACCGATTTTTGGAAATACCCATCTGTACCCGAGAAGTAAAAAAAAAACAGCCCTGAAAGGTTCCATTTGTCTTGTTTGGTGCTTAAGAGGATCTTAAGAGGATCTTAAGAGGATCTTAAGAGGATCTGAACTCTGGGATGCTTTTTCTCCAGTCGCCGACCTAGGGTTGCCCCGTGAAGGTTCCTTGGTGGGTTCACGGTTTCGGGTCGAGGGGTTTAGGGTTTAGGCGGTGTCCTCCCACACCCCCATCATCCTGAAGACATCCGAGAAAAAAACAAACATTGGCTCCAACACAGGCAGGCACGACCCGACTCAAACTAAACCCTAAACCCTAAACCCTAAACCCTAAACCCTAAGCCCTAAACCCTAAGCCCTAAGCCCTAAGCCCTAATCCCTAAACCCTAAACCCTAAACCCTAGATTGTGTTTTGGGTGTTGAGGGTTGTTGGGCCTCACCGGGGTTCTCCACTTGGCCCAGGAGACTCCGGCATGGGAGACGCTGCAGGCGCAGCCGAGGGAGAGTTTAGGGTTTAGGGTTTAGATTTAGGTTTAGGGTCTATGGTTAGGTTTAGGGTTTAGGTTTAGGGTCTATGGTTTAGGGGTTTAGGGTAGGGGCCCTAAACCTTATCAAGTACATAAAGCCCTAAACCCTTTGAAAAGAACATTGACGGTCCTTTGAGCAGGAGATCTGCGAGCCTGCGTCGCTACCGAAGCCTGTAATTCCCACTGGAGCCTAATTCACTTCGTTCATGTTGTGTGAATAATAATTCAGGCCGTAAAGAGAATGTTAATATTAGCCCGGGGTGATCATAAAGAACTAAATAATAACGTGCGCAAATAAAGTGAGAAACAAGCGCTCGAAAGATTAATATTATGTGGTGTACGCGCGGGCACACAGTAATAATATAATCATATATAGCCCACGGATAAAAGCCCTCATTTTCTTTTTGAATTTCATGCGTCATTAATTGCGACTGGCTTGTACCTCGCCTGGCTTGTTCATGCTTGTTCGAGCATGAGCGATGAAGCCCCCCCAAAGCCCGAATGATCAATGACACCTTCCCTAAACCCAATTTAACGCCTAAAGTCCTCAGTCCCTACACCCTAAAGCCCGAAACCCTAAATCTCTAAACCCTAAACCCTAAAGCCCTAAACCCGAAACCCGGCCACCTTCCCCCCCTACCCCCTAATATTAAATGCCCCAGTATAGTTAGCATTATGGCATATGGGACCCTAAACCCTAAACCCTAAACCCTAAACCCTAAACCCTAAACCCTAAACCCTAAACCCTAAACCCTAAACCCTAAACCCTAAACCCTAAACCCTAAACCCTAAACCCTAAACCCTAAAAACTAAACCCTAAACCCTAAACCCTAAACCCCCCCCCCCCCCCAGTGGAGCCCCAAGCCGAGAGGCAGCGGTCCGCGCGGCCGACTCCCGACTTGGGGAGCTGGAGGCAATTGGGGTTTAGGGTTTGGGGTTGAGGGGTTTAGGGTTGAGGGGTTGAGGGGTTTAGGGTTGAGGGGTGGGGTTGAGGGGTTTGGGGTTGAGGGATTTAGGGTTTAGGGGTTTAGGGTTTAGGGTTTAGGGTTTAGGGTCTGACAGCTACATGGGGGTTCGGGTTAAAAGGGCCTGGGGTGGGGCATGTCTCCGGCCCTTGTACGCGCAGAAAGGTTCCTTTTGCTTCCTAGGCTTCTCTGGCCGTGTAAGGTTTGCAAGCGAGCCCCTAAACCCTAAACCCTAAACCGTGAGTCATGTGGAGGTAGGCCTCGGGAAGGTCGAAGGTTGACTTTGCAGATCCTTAGTTCTACTCTTGCTCCAGGGTCTCGGGCCTGTCTGAATGTAAAGTCAGCTCCTCGAGTTCAGTACACCACGCCTATCGTTGTTTCTTCCACGCTGCCTTTCAAAGGAGAACTCGTGCAACTACAGGTGGCCCCCTGAGCTTGCCATACTTCAGGTGAAAAAACACATGGGGGGGGGGGGTGTACACAAAGAAGGGAGCCCGAACGCAGGCTCCCAATTAGTAGGATCCCCTTACAAAAAGGGCCCCAAAAAAGGAACCCGTACTATCCCAGACTTTGCTGCAACCTTAGCTCTTCCCTCAAGGTCGCAAAAGCATGCCCGAGCTTCCTTGCCTTTCGAGAAACCTCAGAGTCTGGCCGCCAAGCCCGGAAGCCCCCATGGTCAGGCTCCTAGCTTGAAACCCTAAACCCTAAACCCTAAACCCTAAACCCTAAGGACTTCGCCCCAGAGAGGCCTCCACCAAAGCGGAGGGGCTCAGAGCCTCGCAGCTGCTGGAGCGTGTGGAGCGTGCAGAGGAGCCTTGGCAGTCCGTATTGAGGGGTTTCCGGATTTCTTGGAGGGGCTACGGTGTGGGGTGATTCTAGGAACCTGGTACCTACTTGAGTAGAAGCAGAGTTTCGGGGCTGGGGCCGGCAACTGTCTAGGGTTCCCAAAGCCATGGTTCCACCGGAAACCTTGAGCCGGTGGCATCCCACTTTCAGGGTCTGAGTCGTAGGTCTTGGCCTGTCAGGGTTGATGGCTTACCGGATGAAGAATGCCAGGGTACCTGTTCGCCACATTGGGGCAGCATGGATCGCAGTTGTCTCTTTACGTCTCATGCAGGACGCCGCGGACCAGCTCCGCCGGCGAGCAGAGGCCCTTGAGGCGGGGTCATCTGCGGGCTACGTTGGGGTGATGCCTTCGGGTCTGCCTAGGCATCCAAACGCCATCCTTGATGGCCAACGAGGTAGCCATGCAAATTCATGAGGCACCAGCCCACTTCGAGATCTTGAGGTGTAATGATAAGCCCAAAGTTCAAAAGTCACGCCAAAGCTCCAAATCAACTAACAGGCTTGGAACTGACAGGTTTACATGCAATGCCGTTCTGTCCAAACCTGGCATCGCATCGCGAAGACATCTATAATGTAGGCGACATGCAATGGGAAGAATTGAGAAGAACATCCTCGCTACTTGAAGTTTGCGGGCCTGCAACCCCAGGCCTGGGATCTTTACTTCCGGCATGATGAAAAGCAAGTACTGAGCAAGTCGTTGTAGCTATCATGGTGACCTGCTCTGCGAAAAGGCATCTGGCCCCGCGATCGAAGGCCTCCGGGAAAGGCGCCTGCCATTTTGGAAAGCTCTGGGATTCAGGATTTAGGGCTTGGGGCTTGGGTTCAGGGTGAAGTGGTTTGATCGCCAGCATCGCCTATGCGGTGAACTTGAGGCAATCCAAACCCTAAACCTTATAACCCCTAATCTCAAGCAACCCTAAACCCTGAACTCCCTAAATCGCAAGACCTACAATCCCCAACCTCTAGGAACGATGCAGGACGAAGTCAGAGCGCATTGATGCCCTCTAGGATGCTCCGCTCTACCAGCTAAAGCGTTTTCAAACTGAGCCTTTTAGAATTTAGGGCCTACCTAAGAAGCCAAAACCTGTTTCTTCAAGGTTACTGAAGAATGGGTTGTATATCGAGCCTACGGAGAAAAACTAGGTGTTGGTAGGGGCAAAACGTTCGGCTGAGGCCCCTTGTGTCGGAGCTTGGCATCTTACTTCGGATTTGGATCAGCCCTATACGTATACACTTTTTTCTATATTTTTTATTATACACACATATATATATATGTTCAGATTGTTGAATTTGGGCAGCTACTAGCTAGAGTAAATAGAGTTCCTGTGAGACTAACGACTAAAGTATGGGCCCTTTGGGGCGTGAGGATTTGCGATGGGAGGTTCCACGAAGGGCCCATGATTTGGATCAACTCCCATACGATACGAAGTAGGGGTTTTAATGGTTTTTGTTCCCTTTAAATATTGGTGAGTGTATATATATATATATATTAGGTGTCCTGTTGGCTTAAACCCTAAACCCTACCCCCTAAACTCTAAACCCTAAACCCTAAAGGCCCTAAACCCTAAACCCCTCTACTTCATGTGAGTGCCTGGACGCTGTGGGAACGTGCTGCCAGGCTCGAGAGCGACAGCCGGGGCCGCAGTTTCGAGTTTAGCGCTTACGGCGGTGGGCTTATGGCAGTTTAAGGGTCTAGGGTTTAGGGTTAATATAGCTGCCTGATGGAGTCGTCCTTGAGCCAGTTTCCGGGGTCCAGGGTGCAATGTTCGGTATTTCAGCGCCTTGTTTTCTGCGGCCGTCCTCGTTGCAACGGGTTGAAGTAGAGAAAGTACCTACAATGGGGCTCTGATTTTTCTTGCTGCATGTGTGACATCGTGCACTTTTCTTGAAGTACCCAAACCCTAATTAGCAGCTGATGGATGCCAGTAGGCCAGGTAAGTCTGCACAGCTTCGAGTAAGGTACTGAGCTTCGACGAACGTTGGCGGCCACAGCCGCAGAGGCGTCTTCGGGCTTCTCAAGTCTCGGAAATGGGCCCCTGACCATGTTCCCCATGAAATCCACTTCACGAACACAACGGGGGTGCACAAAGGGTCCATGTATCCACGCAATGTATGAAGGGCTTCATGGATGCGTATAGGTAGGGCTTGGCATTGGCATTTGAGGACCTATAGGGGCAGCCAAATGAAGGTAGCGTCGCGTTCAGGCTGCCCTTGAAAATTCTTGAGATTCGAGTTGCAGCGTTTTTTTCCAGAACACTCCCCCGAAGCCCGAATTCCTCAGATCCTATACCGCCCGAGCATCAAGAAACCTTGCGGCACGAAACCGACGATTGCAGACATCCTGTGCCCTTTGGCTCACATTGACTCCGCTGCTTGTGGTGACCGGAAGGCGGCGCGGTCGGTTGAACAGCTGCGGCAGGCATCGGACGAAGGGTGCATGGTTTGGTCTGAGTTCAGGGTTTCCAGATGTTGGGTTTGGGCCTGGGTGGCTAGCCATTGCGCTGGTCTGAAACCCAGGTGTTGAACTAACATACACAAGTTACACTAGTTGTGCCTAGACTGTTGACGCCGGTTGACGATGCCTGAATTCGAAGCAGGCTTGGGGATGGGGAATTTCGAGGTGAAGCCTCAACCTGAGTCCGAAAACTAGGAGCTTGTTTGCAGTTGAGTATAGGATGTGTCGAGGATTAGGAGGAGGAGGAGGAGGAGGAGGAGGAGGAGGAGGAGGAGGAGGAGGAGGATGTCGAGGATTAGGAGGAGGAGGAGGAGTGTCTGAGTCTGGGTCATGGGATGCAGATGTATCATGGGTGGCTGACTCGAGCGGTTGTGCGAATTGATCTTGGACCACAAGGGTCGGAGTTGTCTGGAGATGTGGATGCAGCCTGCACTTCTTTGCAGTTCACCACGTAATGTCGCCCGCGTCAGGCGCCTAAGGTTTCTGTTTCCTCTTCCTAAAACCTTTCTGTGCGTGTGAGCTCCAGCTTTGCTGTCCAGGAGTTCCGCGGGGACATCGATCGCCTACTCCGAGAGGTCTTGCTTCAAGATTGCTGACGTCCGCGCGAGAGATTATCAAGATTTTCGCATGTAGAGGTAGAGGATTTTTATGTCCCCAGGTCGGCATAGCCTTCCATTTTTTCAGGGTTTGGCCTCGCAGACAAGTGGCCAGGAAAGTAGTGTAGATGCGGGCTCTAAGGCCCGCAGGTCCATGCAGCACGAATTGTGTGAGCGCGCCACCCCTTCAAAGGGTTTCTTCTTGAAAGTTCACACAGGTAGAGAAAAGGGTCAGAAGATGGTGTAGGTAACTTACGTTGCTTTGAAAGTACAGCTGCATGGCAAAAAAACGTGCCATTAAACTTTCAGGTAGGTCGGTCTTCTAAACTTCAGCCCTAAGACCGCAGCCCTAAACCCTAAACCCTAAGCCCTAGACCCTAAACCCTAAACCCTAAACCCGTGGAGAAAAAAACTACGCAGGTTCAAAGGTTGGGGCAAAAAGCCCAGGGAGCTTGGGTGCGGCTTCAGGGTTCAAGGTCTTCTCAGCTTCTCTTAAGGGAATAGGGTTTAGGGTTTAGGGTCTTAAAAAAAAATTCGAAGCCCGTTGCAAAAGGGTCTTAAAAAAGCCTTTCGCGTTCCGCTTGCTTTTTTAACACGTTCACTTCAGTGCTGAAGGAGAATCTAGGAACCAGAGTAGGCCCCTGTTCCCTTCTTGTTGTTCGGGATTAGGTTCCCTTCTTCATCCCCTTCAAGCCAGAAAGGGCACCCTTGTCATTCCTAGGTTACTCTTGGGTTGAGGGTTTAGGGTTTAGGATTTAGGGTTTTAGTGTTTAGGGAATGCCTGTGAGAGAGAGAGAGAGAGAGTGTGTTTAGGGTTTAAGGGTTCAGGAAGCTCAGGATGTGCGATGCAAGCCAGGCCAACACGCAGCAGGATGCCGGGCGCGAGCACATCGCCTCAGCGCCTTGGCCTGCCCGGAGGAACCCTGAACCCTGAACCCTAAACCCTAGACCCTACACCCTAAACCCTAAACCCTACACCCTAAACCCTACACCCTAACCCTAGACCCTAGAAACCCTAAACCCTCAAGTAACTCTGTGCAGTGTGGGTGGCAAAAACCTAAACCCCAAAATCTTGGGACTTGGGAGTTGATATGTTTTTTGTGGGGGGGGGGGGGGGGGGGGGGGGGGGGCTTTGGGGGTTTGGGCGACGTCTGATGGTCAGTTGCTTGGCCGTCCGAGTGGTTTAGTCGTCTCCTTGGGCTTCTACGCGGGCGCCAGGATCTCTAGGGTTTAATTCGGGTTTAGGGCTACTAGACCCAGGAGGAACCTAGGTATACAAAAAGGCACCGTGTTTGGTCTAAAGGGGATAAAAAGGGAACCAAAACTCCCCCAAGAAGAGAAAATAAGGGCCTACTCCGGGTGAGCCAAATAGCCATGTAGGCTGCCGTGCGAGAGTCAGGGGATTTTACGGGTTTTGGGTTTCTTTCGGGGGTTGGGGAGTTTGGGGTTCAGGGGCGCCCCCTTCATTTTGCTGGCATAGCCCATAAGCTTTGGGCAAATAGAGTTCGAGATTTGGTTCATAGTCTTGGCCCACCACATGTAGGGCATGAGGCGGATAGCCAAGCTCGAACGAGCACAGTTCACAAACAGGGGTGCAACAAAGAAACTAGCCTAAATCTTAAGCATGTTAAAGAAGGACCCTAAACAACGCCCTACAAACCCAAGCTTATGCAAATACCGTAGGGCTCGGTGGCTACAGGCAAAGTACCTGGGTGGGTTGCAATCAGGGTGAAGTCTTCTTCAAAAAAAGGATCGACTGGTCCATGGCATCATGTCTTGCTCCGATGGGATCCGCGTAGACAGCTCGCACATTTCAAAGCGCGTGCTGCCGGGCCTTGTTCGTTTGCATCGTTCCGGGTGTCCAGGTCAAAACGGAGCTCGAGACGACCTACAAGGCCACATGGGCTCCATGCCAGTGCAGAGCATAGGTTGGGATGTTCCCCCCTATACTAACAGCTCCTCAATAGGGATTATCATAGGGGGGGGGGGGGGTGCTAGGAATCCCCATTAAGGAGCTGCTAGTATAAGGGGGAGCATCCCAAAAGTAGAATCATTGTTTTGACCTGGTTTTGTATTTTTAGAGGAGATTCTGGAGCTAGAGTTGCACAGAGGCACTTTGCCAGCTTGGAGGCTTTGGAGCCGGAGGGCCCTGTGTTCATCAGTCTGCTCTCTTGGAGGGTTATGGGTAGTTCTACTTGTCAGGGTTAGAATCGGTTAGAAGTAGGGTGACTACACGTATGACCTTACTTAGGGTGCTTACAACCCTACTTAGCTACCGATGAACCTCCAAACGGAGCAGGTCAGCCCGAATTTCGAGCTTGACTCCCTAAACCCTAAACCCTTAAACCCTATACCCCTAGACCCCAAACCCCAAACCCTAAACCCTAAACCCCGAGCTTGACTCAGCCTGAACCCGCGGCAAGGAGCTTGCGGATCGGGCGGCCGCAGCGCAGGTCGGCTTGGAGACGGTCCGGACCTTTTGACCGAGTTCTGAAGCCTTGGCGGCCATCCGCTTTGCGCACTCCTTCATCTCGCTTTGGGGTCCTATAAGTACCATTCACCCCCAAGAAACAGCAGCACCTGTAGATGTCGCCCAAATATCCCGACAAAGGCGCGGCGAGAGATTGCCGCCACTTCGGACGACGGGCGAAAGCATCAGGACTCGTTGCAAAGTATCAGCATGAAGGGTGCAGAGGTTCTTCGATTCGAGGCCACCAGGCATGGAGAAGAGAAGTTTTCCTCAAGTAGCATACATGGCCATTACACCGCTGCTGTGACAACTCAAACATTTGATGTGAAGCGTGGTGTGCGGTGGCCCCAGACACAATTTAACGGTGCGGTTGCTGTGCAGGATCAGATGGCAGCACTAGCCGAATCCTATGCGGAGGCCAGAAACCCTGAGGGCCCCCAAACCCCCTTCATCAAGGACGCACTCCCTGAATCTTCGACACCCAAAGCCGAAATCACCGCTTCGAACACCCTGATATTTGCTCTAAGCCTTCCAGCGCACGCAAGCCCTGCCCCGACAGCTCAGAGCTACGCAACCCTGCGCTCGCCTCCCGTGTGCTCTGAAGCCTCGTACCCCTAAACCCTTAAACCCTAAAACCTAAACCCTAAACCCAAACCCAAAATCCGAAACCCTAAGCCCGATAAACCCTAAACCCTACACCTGCCCTTGCAAGGTGAAGCAGGCATTGGTCGAGCTCGATGCCAGATGTCGGGCCGCCTCACTTCTCAGACCCTTTCCTTTAGCCCCCCTTAGGAATTTTTCTGTGTTTGCATATTTAGACAAAACCCAAGGGAATATTCAAAATAGTCAAGCCCTGTATAGACATCCGGTTGCCTAATGCACTTGGAGGGGTGTTGTCGTGTCTTGACCGATATCGTAGGCCTCTTGCAGGTCGAGGAAACGGGTTCAAGGGCCTTCAGCCCTGATCCCCCCACCTCGCATCCGCCCCGCCACGGAAATCCCCATTCAAGTAGGGTTTCAGGGCTTCAGAGGTCCGACCACCTCAACCTCTTGGGGGTTTTGGCTTGCAAGGATTCTGAGTTTCGAGCCTCGCAGCCCGAAACGCACAACATTTCCCCGCAATTTGCTCCCCCTGCTCAGACCTGACATCGACTTCCCCTCGTATCCCCTGAAGTGCCAGGCAGCTCCCGCCTTGACTCTTTCCAAGGCGTGTGGTTGAGGGTTCTTTTGAGGTGGCTCGTGCTTGTAAAGCAAAAGTATACATATATATATATATATACATATATACATATATATATATAGTTGTGTGTGTTCTCTTTCTGAGAATATATATATATATATATATATATATATATACTTATACATATACATGTGTATGTGTGTGTGTATAAGTTTACATAGAAGGACCGTGAGTAACTTGCACAACAGTCTGAAGTTTGCTCTGAAACGTAGTGGCTGAGGCCCCATAAGTCCCGAGGCCCAAATCCCTGTCAGAGTCCGCTTTAGGGTTCAGGGTTAAGGGTTGAGAGTCTAGGGGTTTAGGGTTTAGGGTATCCTTGCAAGGGGTTGCAGAGACGCTTGGCCCGCAAGCCTAAGCCCGACACGGTTGGACACATCAGCTACGTTTGTGGGCCGAGGTGCGATCATCAACAAGCCTCCTTCCTTGCAGCCCTTGCACCTGACCCGAACCCTCGAAACCGTGAGGAGAAAGAACTGGAAGTCAGGGTCACCCACCAAGAAACGCCGAACAGCCACAGCAGGCTCCTTGAAGACCACCATCTTCAGGGACGTGGAGGAGGCCACTGGAGCTTCATGCGGCTGCGACCTTTGCTCTTGGTTGGGTGGAGCAGTGAAGCAGGCGGTTCGGACCACGGCTCCCTTGGTGAGTGTCCTGTAGCTGCAGCCGGAACTACCCTAAGTTTTACATTTGGGGTTTAGGGTTTAGGGTTTAGGGTTTAGGGTTTAGGGTTTAGGGTTTAGGATTGTTCGTTGACAACTCTTCGGGGCCCTTGTTTCCTGCTAGCGACTGCGTCTTCCTTGTTGGGCTTTTGGCCGTCGGAAATCTCATTGAGTCATCACTTTATGAGTTCACGTCTGTGTTCTTCAGAGGAAGAGCAGTAGCCCAGTTAGTATGTTTTGCTGGAGGAGAATTGGGAGTCAGAAGATCCAGTGTGCCTCAAACCCGGCCGAAATCAAGTCCCCTAAGCCTTACTAAACCCAGAACCCTAAGCTGTTGTCCCCTATAGGTTGTGATGTTCCCCCTTATACTAACAGTCCTGTTTATATAGTACCTCCTACTACAATCCCTATGAGGAGGAGCTGTTAGCATAAGTTCGAGCATCCTAACCTGTAGGCCCGGAGGCTTTAGCCCTGTCTGTGGCAGGTGAAGCCGTGGTTGCCGGAAGTAGCCGAGCTCAAGAGGGCTCTGCAGCTTCAGATGCAGGTGGCTTGGCTGAGGCCCAACGCGCCAAGCCAGAAGGTTTGGGTTACTATAGGTGTCGGAATAATTCCTGATCGTATTCCCTTATTATGGTCCCTATATAAAGTATACTACACCTCCAAGGGCCTCTATACTTCGCACTTCGGTGGGGGGGTTTTCAGCCCAATGTGTTGATCCACAAACGTCTTGAACCCTGAGACTCTGAGACTCATAGCACCCTAAACCACCCCAGACCCGATAGTGCATGGGGTTTAGGGTTTAGGGTTGAGGGTTTAGGGTCAGGTTGGGGCTTCAGGGCTTTGGAGCCTCAGGGTCAGGAACGTCCGCGACCGGCTGACTCGGGGCTGCGCTGCCAATTATTACACGACAACCTGTAGACAACGCGCCAAAGCTCGAGAAATCCTCACCTTAAACAACCTCCCTCTGCTTGAAGGTGCCCAGTTGTTCTATGCACCTCCCGAAGCCCCAAAAAACCCTAAACCCTCAACTTGAGGGTCACAAGCCCAATTGCCCCCTTCCTCGAATCTACATGTAGCCAGGAGCCTTCAAGCAGAAGTATTCCATAGAGGTCTTACTATGAGGGAGTGTGTTATTAACATGTAGGTATATAATATGTCTTAACCACGGGTGACTACCGCAAAGCTCATAAGCCCTAATCTCACAGCCGCACGTTCCTAAATCACAGAGAACACATGAAAACAAACACACACACACACACACCAGACCCTCGACCCCAAAGAAACAAACACAACAAGAAGCCTCACACCAACACATCCCATCACAAGGGTTTAGGCTCTAGGGTTAGCCCAAAACCTAAATCCCAAGGGCCCTATGGGCCCCAAGAAGACGCCGCGCAAAACGTGAAACTCCAGCATTGGAAGCACCAGTATTGGAAGCCAACAACAAGTGCTCTAAACCCTCCCAACTTCATCAACAAACGCCCGAGAACTGCGCCCTAAACCCTAAATCCGAAACTTCTTAAGCTTTCTGAAGCCCGCTGCCAAGGACGTCCAGGCCGAGCTCGCCAAAGGCCTGGACCGTTTCTAGTGTCAGCGCCTGCGGATTCCCACAAGCGGTTGGGACCCCGCAGGGGCTCGGTCTTTCATTGGGAGGGACTTTGGGCTGTCTACAGGGAACCTTTTCCATAGCGAGTCACTGCTCAAAGTAGGGTTCCGTTTCGTCATGACACGAAGGTCTTGTAGGTAGCAGATTCAGTAATCAGTATTGGTATTATTACTAGAATTACTATTATTCGCATTATTTTTCTGATGATTATTATTAGTATTAGCATGTCTAGTCAGCTGCCAAACCCGGGGCTTGGACGGGCATGGATATGACGATGCTGCGCCCATCTCTCGTGTCCGCAGGCCTCACCGGATGCCAGAACCGGCTTGGCTCCACCCGCTCGACCCTCAAACGGCGCTGTTTAGGGTTTAGGGTTTAGGGTTTAGCGTTTAGGGTTTAGGGTTTAGGGTTGGCATTCGGGGCTTCCGGGTTGCAATGGCGTCCACCTTCAGGGCAGTTTGGTCACTAGTCCCCGGATCTGGGCCTCTCCACTTCTTGTTGCGGGGCGGGGCCCATGCGGCTGCGCATGGGCTTCCCGATCCAAAACTATATATTAATAGATTAAATAGGTAGCGACCTGAAACAAACAAAGAAAACCACAGACCACCCAGCAAAATATGCTGCGTGCCAAGGCTCACAGATCTGCAGTCAAAGCTCGGCCTCGTGCTTTCACAGGCCTTCAGCCCAAAAAGACTCGAATGCCCTGAGCCCGAAGCCCGAGCTCAAGGTCTGGACCTGCAGGACAAGCTGCAGTTTGTTGAAGACAGGCTCGTTTTTCGCATGCCGAGTGTATTCCTCAGTAGGCCTTGCTGCCCAACATTGCACGGCGCGTTGAACCTTCGGTTTGCTTGAGAGGCTCGCACCTCTGCCGAACGCTTGCTGAGCCTGAGTTCTTGCCTCTAGATGCTCGCCCTCATACTAAAAGCTCCAAAATAGGGAATATAATAGGGTGTACTATAATCCCTATTAAGAGCTGCTAGTATAATTAAGGGGGAACATCCCCACTAGCATGCTTTCAAGAAGAGTCGCTGATCTTGCAGCCTGCCAGGGCGGGGCAGGCCGTTGGCTCAGTTTGCCGCAGCCACGACTCTGTCTGTGTTTGTCTCTGTGTGTGTGTCTGTCTGTCTGTCTGTCTGTCTGTCTGTCTGTCTGTCTGTCTGTCTGTCTGTCTGTCTGTCTGTGTGTCTGTGTGTGTCTGTGTGTGTGTGTGTGTGTGTTTGTGTTTGCGTTTGTGTTTGTGTGTTTACCAACCGTCAACCTCTTGGGGTCTTGTCTTCATGTTTTGAACTTCCGATTCGCACCTTTCTTCTTGCTCACTCGCTTCTCGTCCTCGTACTGGTAATCATGGTCTGGCACCCTTTCTGTTGTCAAGCGCTTGCAGATTTCTATCTGAGTAGGGCCCTCGCAGGTATGTCTTGTCATTCACTATGACAAGCCCTTCACCTGTTGGGCTTTCGTTTTCTGCGGCCCCGGTTGTTTGCGGGCCGAAAGAAAGCGAACTTTCCTCGTCCGGATTCCCCACCGTGTGTTCGCTTCTCTGCCTCAAATTGAGCCTCTCTTTAGGTGGCCAGGAATAGAGATTGAACATGGTTTGGGGACCTAATCCCCCCTTCCCCCCCTAAACCCTAAACCCTAAACCCTAAACCCTAAACCCTAAACCCTAAACCCGATGCTGAGATGGAACCACCCAACTTACCGAGGCCGAGTACAAGGCGACCGAAGCTACAGAGGCCCTCGCGCGCGACGCCCAGACCGCTGGAGTATGTTTGCTTAAGGTTTAGGGTTCAGGGTTAGGGTTCAGGGTTTAGGGTTTAGGGTTTAGGGTTTAGGGTTTAGGGTTTAGGGTTTAGGGTTTAGGGTTTAGGGTTTAGGGTTTAGGGTTTAGGGTTTAGGGTTTAGGGTTTAGGGGACTTGGCTACTACGAAACAAGGTGTTCTCCGTAAGGAAGCTGTATGTACTTCTCAGCCCACTCCAAGGTACGTACAGCCCTGCTTATGGCTGTCCATGAACTCCCCAAAATCTGCCGGTGCCCAGGAGACTTGAGCCAGCAATGAAGCAACTGCAAGAAGCCGCGAAGGAGGCACCGGAAACTGCTCCCTTTCGATAGGGTCTGGAATTTGTAGGGTTTATAGGGTTTTTAGGTTTATAGGGCTTATAGGGTTTCTTAGGGGTCTTCTTGTATGAGGGCTGAGTCCGATGTCAGGCGTCATGGGCAGTGACAATGCCAGCTACAATTATTGCTGGTTAGAAACGTATTTCGGGCACTTACAGATTCGAATCATCCGTGAACCTTCACGTTGACCCCCTGCAGCGGAACTCTGTCGCTCTCCCACGGCAGGTTGCGCAGCTTCGCAACTTCTCCATGGAGCAGCCTTCCAGCCTCGCTTGCTGGGGGCTGGTGGGTTTAGGGTTTATATGGGGTTTAGGGTTTAGGGTTTAGGGGTCGAGGGTTTCGGACTTGGGCTGTGTGGGTAAACCCTGAACCGCTCATAGTTGGAGGAGCATTCTCTGCACGTTTGAGTCCAGGGTCCCTGCATCTGTTTGTTGGTTTCCTGCAGGTTGGAATCTGCCACACTAAGTAATAAAGCCTTCGCCACCTTAACTAGGCGGTGAGCTTCAGATATTGTGTTAACTTTTGTTTTTCTTTGAAGTGCATATCTATTATACTATGTGAGGGTACACTATTAATGAAGTTATAAGTGAGCCTGCGATCGCATGAACTTTATTAATGCGTGAACGAAGTGGGGCGTTCGCAAGCTCACTATAATATTATTATTACCGCGGGCTCAATGTAAAGAAGAGAATTATATTATGCCCGCGATATAATACTAAAGGATACTAAAGGTGAAGAGAGTACATTATTAGTGCGTTTATAAAGAGCGTAGTGATGCATGAAACGCGCGACTAATGTATGAACGAAACGAAGTGAAAGAAATGTATTCACGGGCCAACATTAGTATCTTCACGGCCCGTCATATTAGTATTATTAAGAGTGAAGAGAGTAAGTGAAATAGAATTATAAGTGAACGCGTGAAACAAGTGAGCGCATGAATTCATTTCATGCACGAACGAAACAGAGAAAGAAAGAAGTACACGGGCGTATATTTATTATTCTCTTCTCACGCCCGTATAATTATTATATTCCCGCGTGAACAACATTAATACGCGGGGCTATTTAGTAAGTAGTTGTAGTATTCATGCCGTGCGAATAAACGAAATAATAATGTGCACGGCGTGTTCGTTTCTTTGTTGTGTTCTAACCCTCCGCCTGTTGGCAGCAGACGCGAGTGTCCAACAATGAGTTGAATGTCATCTCAGGACAGCCTGAAGATCCTGCGGCGCGCAAGGGCGAACATGTTGAAGTTGCGAGTGCGCTCTGAATACGAAGTTTTCGGACTGACCCTGCGCAAGCCTCCCAAAACCCTAAACCCTGAACCCTGAACCCCATGCGCAGGTTATTCACAAGGTGGCCCCCCACCATGGCAAAGTGGGGCAGGGTGCTAACGTAGGTGGGCTGAGGATCCCACTGACTTTCAGCACTAACGAACAACGAGCTTGTGTTAGCAGATTCCTTCCTGTGATTCGGCAAGCATGCAGAAAGACAGAGCTAACATTGAACTTCCTATCGGCAAATCGTATGTAGAATGCGCTTTACTCGCAAGTCTACATTCACATATGTTCTAGTGTTATCACCAAGCCTTCTTCCAAATCTTTTTGGAGAAGCTTAGGCTAAACACTTTTGGGTCTTTCTTGTGTTGATGCGAAGGGGTCTTCGGTTGTTCCTACACGGGTGTGCTCATGGAGGGGGTCGATGGCCACAGGATCGGGATTTGAGTCTATATGAAGCAGGGTTTGTACTACTGTTTTTGGTGAGTGTATATATAAGGTTCCTTTTGAATATCGGTGAGTGTATATACTGGGTGTCCTTTTGGGGGGTACAAGAAATATATAACCCTACTTCACATGATCTGCCCTGAGGGCTCAAGTACCTGTCGACGAAAGGCTGTTTCGCACCGCCAGGACCAGCAAGATGCAAAACGCAACGGCTGGCGAGATGATGAACCTGGGCGCTGGTCCAGTGTGGCGCTTCCTTTTGCTTAGGGTTTAGGGTTCAGGGTTTGGGGTTTAGGGTTTAGGGTTTAGGGTTTAAGGTTTAGGGTTTAGGGTTTAGGGTTTAAGGTTTAGGGTGCTGGCTTACTTCGGGCAGTTTGCCTCGGCATGGCGCTAGGCTTCCATCTTTGATGAGCAGTTGAAGGGGTGGGAAGAGAGAGGGGGTGAATGGCAAGGAAGATCGGATTTCCCCAAAAGAGTCAATACCCCCATACACCCCCAAAACCCCGGCACGCCCGAAACCCCTGGCTTATATCCCACCGAAGCTTAGAAAAACGTGGCCAGCTTCGGCCCCTAAGCCCGAAACCCTACTTAGAAGGCTCATGAGTAAGTATAAGTGGGGTTGTAAGGACCCTTCGTAAGATTACAACCTGTTGTTCTTATAGATACCCTACTTAGAACCCCACTTATGACTACCCCTCTCGAAGTAAACCTTGCCAGCCTTGTGCGAGAGTGAGCGTCGAAGCCATGTCTCCCAAGCAGACCAAGGAACCTGGAGACGAAGGCCCCACGCCAGTGCTTCCTGCTTCCCCTGCCTTGTGTATGAACATCCGCTGTGATTGCTGAACTGTTGCTCCTCCCAGCTCCAGACCCTGAAGCTGAAACCTTAATCTCGATGGACGTGATGGATTGAGGATGATACTGGGCGGAAGACCTGTGAGACTTGGTAGCCCAGTCGTGCCCTTTACCCTTTTTTTTTGGTTCTGGGTTCCCTTGCAAAGTAACCAACCCAAAAAAAGGGGTGCCCTTATTATAATATGGTTACTGGGCTACTATACTATAGGGAGGGCTTCTCCTGAAACCTTTCGCCAAAGCCAATTCGGTCCAGAACTGAAGCCGTCCGAGCTGTACCGACACGACACCTTGGAGTCCCCCTTGTGCTCCCCTGGGCACAGGCTTCTTCCGAAAAGAATCCGACTTGAGGGTTCTTTGTTTGGTGTTTGTAAAGGGGGAACTTCACGACATAGAAAGACTGTTCACACTTCTGAGCCGGAAGCCCGAAAGTCAAACCACAAGAGCCGCGGACCTGCTTCCCCGGCATTCTCTAGGCACCGTTGTCAGATGCATGTTTCCAACGCCATTGTCCGAATGAGCCAGGTGCAACGTGAGATGACAAGCGCTCGCGAGCATTGCAGTCGCCAGGTGCAGCAGGTGCTTGGGATTATGGCTTCGAGGGTTCTCGACCCCCAGCGCTTGTCCTTACCAGGATGGGCTACTAGGCCTTAAAATCCTCATAATGAAGCCTATAAAAAAAGGGCCTTTTTCGGGATTGTAGGGTATCATAGCCCATCCTGGTACACGGTAGAAACCCCTCTTTGGCTGCCCGTAGCGTCTAGGACTCGCGAAGCGCCGCGGGTTCAACAATCGGGTCGCTTGCTTGTTCGTCCTTTTTTTTGTTGGAGGTGTCGTTTGAACCTTAGACCTCAGACATCTCCCTGTTCATCTCTTGTGGGGGCACGATGCGCAGCATCTTGGGGTGCTTGCAACGAACGTTTGGGATGATGAGTGTCTTGTGCTTAGGGCAGGTGACACAATTTGCAGACCGAGGGCCTGCCCCCACAAACAGCACCTTCGATGAAGCCCGATGGAGAACTTTGTATTTGAGGGGCTTGGAAGGAAGTGGGGCCGAGGGCTTGGGAATATATTGAAACCGTTAACGGCCTGAAACCCTAAACGGCCCTAAGCTTGTACGCAAAATGCGCAGGGCATGGGTTTAGACCTTCCCCCACCGACCTGAATCTACAAGCCGTGGCGAGGGGTTACGGGTAGTTGCACAAGTGGGGTTAAGGGTTGGGTCACTGTAGCTAGAGGTAGGCCCTTGGGATACATTTTTACATTTTCCCTTATTGGGTTGAAGAGGCTCATATTCCGGAACCAAATTTCGGGGGGGCTTGAAGAGCCATCCTAGGTATGTATACATATATATATATATATTAATATATATATATATATATATATATATATATATATATATATATATATTTTATACCCTTATATATCCCCTTGCTCATGAGCCCCAAGTCCCAACACGTGACCACATGGACCCAAAAGCGCTCTTCGCGCCGCAGGTGGAACTTGCCGCCTGGGGCCCAGGGAGAGCCATGTTTGGGCGGGGAAGAGCTGCCACTTTTGCCAGGTTCTATCCGAGCTAGTTCTCTTTTTTGTTAGGGTTGGGATGTTACCCCTTAGACAGACAGTCCTTAGTAGGGATTATAGGGTGTAGTATAATCCCTATTAAGGACTGTTATAGTATAAAGGGGAACATCCAAACATAGACCACCAGACGGTGTCATGCAGCCGCTGGGTTCGGGAAGAAGGCTTCACTTGGTTTTAGCTTGGAGCGTAGACCTGACCCCTTTCGGTTCCTGAAACCACTACGTGGTTGTATGGTGGTACCCTTTTCCGCTTTTTTTGGTTCAAGGTGCCCTTACAAGGTAATCAACCTCTAAACCCTAAACACTAAACACTAAACCCAAAAACGGTTACTGGGCTACCAGGATTACAGGTAAGCTCCGCAAACGAGATCTCAGGCCTTGAAGCTCCGCGAGCAAGTGGCGGATGCCGTAGAGAGGGCGCGCCCGGGGGGAAGGGTGTTGTTTCAGGTTGCAGTTGAGGGACTCTCAGGAAAAAAAAATCGCAGCCAAGAAAATCGAGCGTTCTAAGCTGCAGGGCTTCGGGCGTTATCAGTCCCGTCATGTGGCTGAGTTTGGGGGAGGGGGGGGTGGGGGGGCGGGTGCCTGATGGACCGAGCGGGGCGACCAAGACCGATCCATAGTCGCCGCAGAGGAGCAAGGTAGCAAGGTAGTCGGGAGTGGCTTCTTGGGGCTGCAAGAAGTCGGGTTGAGGGCTTCATCCGAGCCTCGATCCTTAGCCTCCGCACACATTCCTAGAGAAGCACCGCGTCTTGGCAAAGATTGGCAATGGCTATTCCAAGATTGCACTTGGGAGCAGAACCTGTTCGAGAACCCTCGGCCCAAAGATGCCCAAAGTGAGGTCAAGGTGGTGGCGGACGGTATACAGGACGACCTTGTCCAGGAGCCACCTTGCAAGCAATTACGGTTTAGGGTTTAGGGTTTAGGGTTTAGATCCCTGACATCCAGCGACGTTCAATGTGCACCCGGGCCCAGCCAAGGTGCTACAAGCCTACTTGGAGGTTCATGGTTCTTATAAAAAATTATAACTACCTACTGGTCTAACCATATTAGGGCACTTCAGGGGCTTATAAGTGGGTTGCAAGAACAGTTATAATTGGCTAATAACTACCATGAACCTCCAAGTATAAGCAGCAAAACAGCACTTCGATTCCAGCCCCCGACTTGTGTCTTCAGCTCTGGGCAGAACAAGCTGCTTCCGGTAATCTCCGGCTCTCGCGCAAGTCTTCGCAGGAGAGACAACGCAGGGCAGACGAGGTCCTGGGGAAGTTGTTTCTAGCCGCAGTGATTGAGTCGGACTTTGGCAGCTTGCCTTCTTACTGACCCATAAAGTGATGAATGGTTGTATGCTTGGAGGTTCATGGGTACTTATCAGTAGGGTTGCAAGTAGGGTAGCTATACTTATCACCTTACCTCGAGTACTTCTAACCCTCCTTCTAACTACCCATGAACCTCCTACTCAGCCACTTCGTGGGGCGCTGTTCAGCACCCTGATCAACCAAGCCCATACCTACAATGTCCCCACAAAAGAAAAACAAGAACCCCCTTACTACCCTTATAGGGAAGAACAGAATGAGTCTTCGGGGTTTACCCTATACCCCCCCTATACATATACACATATATACATATATATATATATATATATACATACCCTTTAAGGGATGATACCCTATACCTACACCCCTATATATATATATATATGGTACCCCCCCCCCCAGTGACCTACCCTTTTTCGCCTTGTCTCAAGTCACCCAGGTGCACTGCAAGCAAACTCGGTGTGCAATATAGCGTATTTCCTAGGGCGTAGACTAAAATACAACTAAAATCGCATACACGGGACAGTAGAAAAACCAAAATGCCAAAACCAAAAAAACCAAAAAACCAAAACCAAAAAAACCAAAAAAACCAAAACCAAAAAAAACAAAAACACAAAAAAAAACAATTTTCCGGGACTCTCAGGAAATCCCTATGAGGCTTCTCCAAGAGTCCCGGAAAATTGTTTTTTTTTGGTATTTTTGTTTTTTTTGGTTTTGGTTTTTTTGGTTTTTTTGGTTTTGGTGTTTTTGGTTTTTTGGTTTTGGTATTTTGGCTTTTTGGTTCGCCTTCACGCAACAACTACGCATTTATAAGTGTGCTTATGCTAATTGTGCTTTTCAGAAAATAGTATACAAGTGGTCTTTCTAGTGCTTCAGAACTATTTGTTTCGTTATTATGTAAGTAGAGCCGCTAGTGTTTAGTGCATCTTTTGGTTGTACTCAAGTGTAGTAGACCTTATTCAGCCATTACTTGGTGCTCTGGTAGCTCAATTCGCATGGATAATATTTGCCTGGTAAATGCGATTAATTATCTAGAAGCAGCATTTGCAATACTTGTCTTGAGAAAAGCATTTATTGCTTAGAATTGTTTGCTTAAAAAGTGACTCCTACTCGTCCAGGAATACCCCAAAACCCTATAATCCAAACTTTACCAGAGATTCTCCTGAAAAGCTTGCGCTTTTGGATGTTTTTATGTATTTGTGAATTTGCTTGTGTATGGCCTTCACTAAGTACTTTTCTAGGATTCTTGTGCATTTGTTAAGCCTGATTGTGCAAGTTGCGTTTTTCAGGCATAGTATATATGTGGTCTTTATTGAATACTTCAGACCTCTTTTTTTCATCGTTATGTAAGTAGAACCGCTTCTATTTCCATTATTGTGCATTTTTAAGCTTGCTCATGCAAATTGTGCTTTTCAGACATAGTATATAAGTGGTCTTTAGTGAATACTTCAGCAATCTTTGTCTCATTGTTGTGTAGGTAGAACCGTTTCCATTTTCGCAAGTGTTTATTTCGTATTTGGTTAAGTATGGTCCTTTAAATAGTATCCACTTGAGTCAAATTGGGCTATTTGCTTAAGAATTCCTCTAGTAGTTAAATTCGCATAGAATGAATACTTCAAAAAAAATGTTTCATGAATATGTAAACATAAGGTGTTTCATTTGACTTTGCAGATAGTACTTCAATAATACTTTGCCTGGTATAAACACAACTGTTTCAATGCATTAGTTGCTCAACAAGGCACTATTTGCCCTTCAAACCACACTTTGCCATATGTTGGTTGAATATGGTGCTTCTTTCGTATTTTGGTTGAGTATGGTCCTTTAAATGGTATTCACTTGAGTCAAATTGGGCTATTTGCTTAATAATTACTCTAGTAGCTAAATTCGCATAAAATGATTATTTCAAAAATAAAAACGATTCATGAATATGTAAACATAAGGTATTTCAGTGGACTTTTCAGAGAGCATACTTTGCCTAGTACAAACACAATTGTATAAATACAGTATTTGCACTTTAAACGCACACTTTGCCATTTTTTGGTTGAGAATGGTGTTTATTTCGTATCTTGGTTGAGTATGCTCCTTTAAATAGTATTCACTTGAGTCAAATTGGGCTCTTTGCTTAATAATTACTCTAGTAGCTAAATTCGCATAGAACCAAGAAAAATGTTTCACTATTTGATTAATACTTTGCCTCGTACAAACACAACTGTATAAATAAATTAGTTGCTCAACAAAACATTAATTGCCCTTGAAACGCACAATTTGCATAGAAAAACACTGATCTAAACATCTAAAAACAGCATTGTCCGCTTCAGATTCAAAATGTAGATTCTTCCAATGCTGGCTTATCGGGGTCTGTGAGGTGGGTGTCCCAGTAACTGTCCTTCATTACCCGGTGATTAACTACGCGACTTTTGGGCCTTCTTTGTTATTTTTTGTTAAAAAGGCCTAAAAAGGCCTAAAAAGGGTAGGTCGCTGGGGGGGGGGGGTAGCATATATATCTATATATAAACATACCCTTTAAGGAGTGGTTTAGGGGTAGATGCGCGAGGCCTCTTCGGCGGTCAGCACTGCCGAAGCTTCTGGGCGGAAGCAGCTCGAGGCGCACGTGTCAGCGGCTGATGAAAGCGCTGTTTTCTACCCAGAACCGCCTATCTGCCCTGGGATCTAGGGTTTAGGGTTTAGGGTTTGGGGTTTTAGGGTTTAGGGTTTAGGGTTTAGGGGGAGTTTCTGGGTGGCTGTTTGAGGTTGAGCCTTGGACCGTTGACCCAAAAAAGGTTCAGATGGCCCAAGATGCCCGAAGCTCTCCTGCTACCCAGGAGGACCCCCCACATCCCTCCCACACCCCCCCCCCCCCCCATCCTGCTTGTGCATCCCACCCCTCGACCCAACAGAGGGGTGGTCGCAGGATCTGAGGGAGCACTTTGTGCAGGAGCTTATGGCCTGCGAGGTCGTGGCGCTTTGTTTTGGGCTGCGCAGCATTCGTACGCGTCTTGTGACTTTTGCTCTTGGGTTGTCTCAGTTTCCGAATTGAGAACTACCGGAGCAAGCACCAACCAGCACCGAGACGGGGGAACAACGGCAACAGCAAGGGATGCATGTTCCGTCGGAGTCTCATACAATCCCGAAACCTCAGAGAAGCTTGGGGAATCCACTGCGCGCACGACGTCCGCCATATGTTCCCCCAAGTCATCCGATGGCCCCTCCACCCTAAACCCAAAACCCCAAGACCCCAACACCCCAAAACCCCTAAAACCCCAAAACCCTAAAACCCTAAACCCTGAAAACCCGAAACCCTAAAAAACCCTAAAACCCGAAACCCTGAACCCAAAGCCCTCCACTCTGAAGCCCCGTATACCTTAGATTCCGTGAAGCAGGGCCGCATGCTCAGCCAAGAGTCCTCCGTTCGCCAGTTTGCGCACCTCCGGCAGTTTTTGGGGCGAGCACGGTGGTGGCCTGGTTGTGGGTCCCGGTAGCTACCGTTCGGCTTCGGTCTTCCAATTTGTTACGAAAGCCAAGAGGCGAGAGAGCAGAGTTACCTAGAAGATGCGGTGGCGTCCTGGGGGTGGGTGGGGGGGGTTTCCGCCCTCGTGTTCATTTGTGTTGCCATGTCTGCCATGAATGAACGAGCCTTTTTGTGTACACTCTGAACCCTGGGCCCGCGATTTAGGGTTCAGGATTCGTATGAATATGGCTCCTGTGAAAAAGTATTGGTACGTGTATATATGTATATATGTGTATATGTGTATATGTATATGTATATATATATATATAGGGTGTCCTTTTGGGGATGCTGGTAATATAACCCTACTTCACACAGAGCATTTCAAGCCAGACAGGGTTTAGATTTAGGGTTTGCGACGTGGAGCTTTGGGAGGGCTTTGTGAAGTGAACCTAGAAGGTTGCTCTACAGTGGCAGGGTTCTCGGTTCAGTTGCCAAGTTGGCGGATGTTGTTCATTCAACCATGACAAAAGTACAGGATTAAGACTTTCTTCTGTCAGGCTACTTGGAGGCTCATGGCTACTTATGTATAAGTAGGACTAATAAGTACCCATGAACCTTCCAGTAGTGATAGCCACATTGGTGCCCTTGAGTTTGAGATTCTCCCTAAACCCTAAACCCTAAACCCTAAACCCTAAACCCTAAACCCTAAACCCTAAACCCTGACCCCTAACCCTAAACCCTAACCCTAAACGCTAAACCCTCCGAGCCTTGGCAGCTACGAAACCTCGTGGCAGGGCTGAGCAAGCTGGTCAACTCTGGGTTTCCGTGCAAGACTTGCAGGACCTGGGGAACGGCGGGGAGTTTGGGGTTGGTTACGGCTTAGGTTTTTTATTATTCATTTAGTTTTTTTTTTTGGGGGGGGGGGGGGGGGTTTAGGGTTTAGGGTTTACGGTTTACGGTTTAGTTTTTTTTCAGTAATTTGTTGGGCGGGGGGGAGGTGTTAGGGTTGTTTAGGTTAGGGTTTGTTTGGGGGAGGGGGAGTTTTGGGGTGCAAGGCGTCGGTTGGTTTGAGAATCACGGGGGTTTGGATTCGATCGTTGACGAAGTAAGGGATTTGGCCGTTTACGACGATTTGTTGCTTTGCGTGTTGGATTAAATTGGAATATACGACGCATTCTGCATTTCCACGCGGAATGCGCAGATGGAACGACTCGGTGATGGGCTCCTCCCTTGGCGCCTTTTACTAAAGCGGGTTTAGGGTTTAGGCATTAGGGTCTCGTTTTAGGGTTTAGGGTTGAGCTCCGTGAGGAAACCACCAAGAAGCTCGAGAAGCGGACAACCGAGCTCTCGGAAAAGCAGCTTGTCTGTGGGTTTTTAGACAGGGAGTCATTCAAGTGGCACTTCTCGGGACACATGATGAGACCGACGTTGAAACTTCAAATCGTTCAGTACTTGGCCCTCATGGCGTCTATAACCTCCTGGGTGTATGTCAGGGGTGCCGCCTGAGGCCTAGCACAGGGGGTATCAAGAGCTGGCACCGGAAGCCTAACGCCCTGTCTGAGTTGAAATGTAGTTTGCAGTTGCATGGGGGGGGGAGGCGGTAGGGCGAAATGATGTCGCCATGGACAGAACCTTGTTGCCCTGAAGCTGCGAAACTCTTTGTAAGGGTCGGGAGGATGAAGGTGCCACAGCGTGACTCTACGGGCCTCCTTCGAGGCCTTCAGATTTTAGATCCCATGTCTTCCTGGAGAGACAGGAGTTCTAGTCAGGGGGACAGCTTGATGGATGGAGTCTATCACAGACCTGCCCCTATCCAGGGCGTCGACGGCAGATTCTTCTCAGCCAAAGGCAGCTGCCCAAGTGGGATGCAGGTCCTGAGGTTTTACTTTCATTTGAATGCAGGGTTTCCGTCGAGACATGGGAGGCGGGGCCCCGTGTTCAGGGACTTTTTGTGGAAAAGGGGGAATCCGCAAAGCCGTGAACCTTGTTGAGCCTCGTGGTGAGATCTCTACAACAGTTTCCAAAGGGTAGGTATCCACACAAACGGTACGCCGACATGGACCCCGCAGCACGTGAACGTCCGCGTATACTTGGAGGTTTCTTGGGTAGCTATAAGGTTATAAGCTGGGTGACTACATTTTTCACAGGTTGTAACCTTCGGGTACATATGTCCAACCCTACTTATCACTACCCAAACCTACAAGTAGGGGCGTTTGCTCTTGAAGCCGACAAAGTCCTGCAGCGCCCCTAAACCCCTAAACCCCTAAACCCCTAACCCCCTCTACTCCTCAATCCCAATCCCTAAGCCCTCAACCCCTCAACCCCCAACCCCGAAACCCCTCAACCCTAAACCCCCTGAGGGTGCTGGGCCAGAGCTCAGCGTTGAGGAGCGTTCTGTCGTAGTTGGACCTTGCAAGGCATCGGGATAGTTCTCTAAATCAGGGTTCTTTTGTTGGGCCCCTATGTAATACGGCACCCTGACAATATGGACCCCCAAAGAAACCCTAATTTAGAGAGAACTAACCAGTGTTTGGGCAGCTCTCGAAATTGTTGGGTCCGCTTTTTGGGTTTTCCTCTTCGACATCGAAGCCTTAGAAGTATAGCTTGGGGCCATTGTCAAAAGGACCGTAAGTTTACTCTGGGTTTAAGGGGGCGGGGCATATAAGGCAACCTAAGCCCATGTACCTATAATTATGGTCCCTTTTGGCGTCCCTAATATACTACGGCACCTAATACTTAGGATGTCCAAAAAAGGGACCCTAATTTAGAGAACAGCCCCCCTAAACCCTAAACCCCAAACCCCCCCCCCCCCCAATGTACCTATGAGCTTTGTCCTCATGGCCTGGAGATCCAGGGCTTGCCTGCAGGGCCTGCAGATTTTCCCCCCTGCGCAAGTCATGAATCCCAGAGACACCGCTATCTGAATTGGGGACTATTCCTTAACTCGCACTAAGAATATGAATATATATATATATATCTCTCTCTCTCTCTATGTGTGTGTGTATATGTGTATGTATATGTGTATGTATATGTATATGTATATATGTATATGTGTATGTGTATGTGTATGTGTATGTGTATGTGCATTTTAGTTATCTATTTGTTTTTCTACATGTATATGTACAATATATGTATGTATGATGTAAGGAATATTCCTGAATTTAGGGAATTTGGAGTTTCTGGCATAGCTCCTTTCAGCTTTTGCACCGGAACCCCTCCCCCCCTTGGGAACACCCCAGGCCCTTCTCCACACTAGTTCGGCGTTCCCGCGAGTGCCGAGTTTCTGAGGATGCGCCCCCAAACGTGTGCATGTTTATGGACTTAAGGCCTAAACCCTAAACCCGAGGTTTTGTCCAGAAGCGGGGAGGTCAACGGGTTGCAAGAGGATTAACTAGGGGCCGAAGGCTTAACCCCGACACCCACAACGTCTCCCAAGACCACGATCCATTAGTTACAGCTGTACCCTGGGATGTTCCCCCTTATGCTCAGTCCTAGGAGGGGTTATAGTACCCCTACTATAATCCCTATGAAGGACTGTTACTATAAAGGGAGAACATCCCAACCTGTACCCACAAGGTCTCCAAAACCAGGACCCATGAACGCGCCCTGCGCGTTCCTCAGGGCTCAAGGTTTGACGGCACACCCTTAAACACCTGAGGGTTATGGGGCCTAGGGAGCCCCAAGAATCGATGCCACACTCCAGTATAACAATGTAGTTAGATAAGATTAAAGTAGTGTAACGACAGTATGTATATGTATATGTATTTATATATATGTATATATAATGTAAGATATGATAATAAACAGACATACACCTTACCCAATCCGTCAGCCCCAAAACCGGAAATCAGGAGATCCAGCAGTTCAAGACGCAGCGGGTGAGCAGCAAGACCTCCGTGGGGTCTGCGGGCCCATTCGCAGCGACGTTCCCTGACACCAAGGGGGATAAGTAGAGGGCTTAGGAACTCTTCTTTTCTTTTTGGGGGCACCTCACAGATGCTGCCCTCCTCAGCAAAGGCATGCCTTGTAATGTAAGACATGGTCTAAGTTTAAGCCAAAGCCAGAGCCTCTAACAGCCGCGGTGGCGATCAGGCAAAGTTCAGGCGCTGCGGATGAGTCGGGCAGGCCTCAGGGGCGAGCAGATCTAGACTTGAGGGCTCGCAGGGCTGCGAACCAGAGTTGTCGTGGTTGGCACATTCGGGCCCATCGGGGCGTTTCCTGTTGGTGGTCGAGGCTTGAGATTTGGCTTCTGCTGCCCTAACACAAGTTCATACGTTTCCAGCATGACCTCCGATGCACCCCAAGGGGGTGGTTGTTTTTTTTTTTTTTTAAAGTCCTCTATATCACCTTCAACCCACTGCTGTCAAAACTACCCCCCCCCCCCCCCCCGGTGCCTTGAGTCTTCTGGTTGCTCGAAGCTCTTCGAATCCTTAAAGAATTCGCCCAGCTGGGCCAAGCCAAGACCTTACAACTCAGCACCAACTTCAGTCCCCGGGTTACTAGGACCCTGAGTAGGCCCTTATTCCATCTTATTCCCTTTTTGGGGGGCACCCTTTTTATTCCTAGGTTACTCTTGGGTCTAGTTTTTGTACGGCTCAGGGCCTATTGAGGGCTTAAGGGGAGGAACGCTCCCCAACTGAGTCGAGCCTGTTTCTCCACGACATGCGGGGTTGGCACTGGTTTGGCACCCGAAACAATGCTTCGGCTCAGGATTAGCGGATCTCGTTTTGTACGGTTTGAGGGCCCGCAGGATTTAGGGTGTATTGAAGTAGTCATAAGTCGGGTTATGAGTTCCCTAAATTAAATACTATAGGGCACCACCAGTTCTAAGAAGAGCTACACTGTGCAAACCCATTTAAAACTTTAGCTACCCAAGTAAGGTTTCCCCCAGCTCCACAAACCCAAGCAGGAAGAGCCAGCGGCTGCAGAGAGAGGCACTCACCTCGTCTCGACTGGGGGGGTCTTGGGACTTTCCCAAACCTCTAAACCCGCAGCCACAACCCCGGAACCTTGTATATTCATTTTCCTGCCCTCCGCCTCCCTGTTGCCTGAGACCTCACTCAAGAGCATAAGCTTATCAAGCCCCCAAATAGGGAATACTTGGGCCTTAGAGTACCTCCTATATAGGGACTTTTGGGCCCAAGTCTATAGTAACAATAGTAATGTAACTAATCACAATAATCATAATACTAATAATAGCAATAATAATAACAGTAGTAAAAACAATAATATCAATAATAATAATTATCATAATAATCATAATAATAATAATAATCATAAAAATCATGTGCCAACCCTAAACCCTAAACCCTAAACCCTTAGGGTTCAGCCGCGAGCGCAGGAGCTCCTCCAGCGCCTCTCCGAAGCCGAGACACGACTGCAGCAGCAACAGTCCCTGGTGCCTTGGATTTGGGGTTTAGGGTTTAGGGTTTAGGGTTTAGGGTTTGAGGTTTAGGGGGGTCTGGGGTTTGGAGCGCTTCTGGCTTCGAGCATGAGACAGGTATATGGCAACCTGCGTTTTGGCGTTTCATTTTTGGGGGTGGGTTGGGAGGTGGGGGCGGTGTAGTGCTGGGTTTAACCCAGCTCTTGGCTCCCCACATGGAGTCTGCTAGGGATCTTCGGGAGATGAGCTGTATGCCTTGTCTGCATCCTGGCAAGTTGCTTCGTCTGACAGAATCCGGTTGCGGAGCCCTAAGCCCTCCACCCAAATCTGCAGACAAGTACCCCTGCTGTGTGGCTTTGGTCAGCTATGCGGGACCGACAAAAATCTGTGGTCCTTCCCGGCTTCAGTCAGCATGGTTTAGGTATGGAGGCATGGCGCTTTGGGAGTTCTTGGCGGAAGAAGTCCAACCAACCATGGGTCGTATTGTCAAGACCAGTTGCTGATCTCTCTGCTTCAGTCAACATTTTCGACGCCCTTGCCATGTTTGGATGTGCCGACCTCTTGTAATGCACCCATTGCTCTTCCCTTGCTCTACGTCTGTCGGCTCCTGCTGGTGGAAATGCCAGGTGCCATGTGCCCGCACAGGGAGACCAGTGAAAGTCAGCCCCTCCCCACCCCACCCACCCCCCCAAAAAATCAACAGCTTCGCACTTTGCACCCACCCCACGCGGAGTGTGAGAGAGAGAGAGAGAGTGAGTGCATGCCATTGCTTTTCTGAAGGTGCAGCGGCAGAAAGAGGACATTAACCAGCAAATGAGGAAGTGGTCGTCTTAGCCGTGCGAATTCATCGGAGAAGACAGTTCCAGAGCAGAGCGCAATGCCACCGAGTACAGGGAAAGCAGGATTCTGTGGAACACAATTGGCTTCAGGGTCTTTAATGTAGCCTCTCGAGCAGAGGGAAGTTCGGAAGCGTTATCAGGCTTTGTGATGGCAGGCGTTCCTGCAGCATGTGTCAATGTCCGTGTTTGGCAGGACAGAGGGAGCGAGACACGTGTCCAGGGCCTCCTTCTAAGCCTTCAGGGAACGAACGAGGGGCAGATTGGCTTACATACACCCTAAACCCTAAATCCTTAATTCTCAACCCTCAACCCTTAACCCTCAACCCTCAACCCTCAACCCTCAACCCTAAACCCTAAACCCTAAACCCTAAACCCTAAACCCTAAACCCATACATCCTGAAGAGTCCAAGAAAAATTGCAATCTCCACCAGAACAAGATGCACCGACTGCTTCGACGCGTGTCTCCCGTTCCTCCATGCCCGAGTCCTGTGCGAAGAACGCCTTAGATGGACATTCTGCCGCGGGCGCGGGTGCACAGGAGTAGAAATTGGAGTGGGGGGGTTTAGGGTTTAGGGTTTAGGGTTTAGGGTTTAGGGTTTAGGGTTTAGGGTTTAGGGTGATTGTCGACCCACCACAGCCTACCTTACATTACATCTTTCTTTCTTCCCAATGAGGAATGGGTTTAGGACACTGGCCTGATGGCCCATGAAGAAGAAGAAGCAAGAGAACACGGGAAGGAAGCCAATAGTAAGAATAAGAATGTAATCAGAATTCTTTTTCCTGATGCAGCCGGCGCTCGCCGCAGCTGTTGAAAATGGAGCGGTCCCTTGACCCAGTTCTTCTTGCAACAGCAGAATTTAAGGCGTAAAGGAGGGACCCCCAGAAGGGACCCTTAATCTTAATCTTATTCCCCTTTCTAAGCCCTATGTAACCCTTCCATACATAAACCTTAAATACCCAAAGAACCCCCAAGGTCCCTCACAAGGGTCCCATGAGTTGGAGAATGAGCATCGCGCACCTCTGCAAGCCCAAGCCCCCCCCCCCCTCCCCCCGCCCACACTCCCAAACCCTTGAGGGGGCTGCTGAGTCCAGAGGGGGTTTAGGGTTTAGGGTTGAGGGTTTGAGCTTTAGATGGCTTTAGGGTTTAGGGTTTAGGGTTTAGGCTTTAGGGCAACTTGATCCTGACAGCTATAGCCACACGAGAACGAGTGAGAGTGTGTGGGTGCGTATATGAGTGAGAAGGGGGCGAGTGAGTGAGGCGAGTGTGGAACGACAGGTGAGAGAGGTGAGAAGCAACTCTGAACAAGCCGAGAGAGAGAGCTTTGCACGAGGGGGCCATCACCTCAAGGCCCAAAGAAAGACAGAAAGAGAAAACTAACGAAATAGAACTTGAGCGAGAGAGCGAGAGAGCAAGAGAGAGAGAGAGAGAGAGGGGCGACCCCTTCGGGGGTTAAGTGCTGCAGCGGAAGGAAGGAAGAGGGAGAGTGAGGTCCCGACCCGCCCCTCATGCCCAGCAGCAGAAGAAGAAGGGAGAGTGAGTGAGAGAGAGAGAGAGATAGAAAAGAGGTGATTCGAACTCTAGGCGCCCACGAACGAAAGGAAGAACTAAAGAACACAAGAAAGAGAGAGATATAGACAGATCACCTTCCCTGGCCTTCATGCCCCGTACAAGAAGAATAAGAAGACGAAGAAGATATAAACAGATAAGCAGAAACAAAACATGTGTTATGCCCGACTGTCCAGGCTATTCACACCTTGATGTGGGACATGAACTGCCCTAAGCCCTAGGCTCCAAACCCCCAGCTGAGTTTGAACCCTACACTATCGGACTCCTTTCTTCAGCAATCCTGGGTGTGAGAGGGACATCTCTCTAGGCCCTCCGGCCGGCAAATGCGATTCGCTTTGGATTGGCGCTCGCCAGGGTGACAGAACATGGCTAAGGGAAAGCCCCTAAGATGGCATCCTGCTTAGAAGATCCCGGGGTCGGGATTATCGTGTAGCCGGGAAGCGCCAGAAACCCTGTAGCCTTGTGAGATGCTTTCGGGCAAAGGGGTTTAGGGTTTCGAGCACGTGCTGTCCGACAGGGCCCCGGCGTGTATCTTGCCATGCCTTCCCTGCACGTTGATAATCTGAGGAATCTTGCCCGTGGAGTGACGACGTCTCGTGTTCAGGGCTTCTCGTGGTTGCTTCAAGCTTTGTTCACTGGCTGGCGCGCGTCCATGCAACACCGCAGACGGGCATGCGGTGTGTCGAAGATGGCAAAGCTGAAGAAAAAGCAGGGAAGAGGGTCTGCACTGCAGTGTCAAACTACGTTGGGGCAGACTACTTTCGGGACACGCACTTCAAAGTGCGGTAAACAGCAGAGCTAGCAAGAAAGTGCATGCTAAAGAGCGTTCGCTAGTACCAACGCGTTTCAGGTTCTAAGAAAATTTTCGGCCGGCGGTAGGAGCTCCACCGAGAATCCCAGAGAGAGGCTTGCGGGGAGCACCCCCTAAACGAATCCCTTGCAACACAACGCGCTGTAGAGCTGAAGCTATACATCCTGTTTCCATTTCGGGGTTTCTGCGGAAATAGTGGACCCCTTTTTTAGACCCCCACACAGTAGAGTTTCCTTATAAAAAGGACCCAAATAAGGCACCCCACATAGCGCCCCCAGTTCCGTTCCTCGAGATTGCACTCCAGGAGCCTGTGCCGCCGCTACAAAGTGCAGCCTGCGAAGGCAGCTGCCCCC